CAGGGCCCCTCTGAGCTGCAGCAGGCCCCTCTGAGCAGCAGCAGGGCCCCTCTGAGCTGCAGCAGGGCCCCTCTGAGCTGCAGCAGGCCCCTCTGAGCAGCAGCAGGGCCCCTCTGAGCTGCAGCAGGGCCCCTCTGAGCTGCAGCAGGGCCCTCTGAGCTGAAGCAGGGCCCTCTGAGCTGAAGCAGGGCCCCTCTGAGCTGCAGCAGGGCCCCTCTGAGCTGCAGCAGGCCCCTCTGAGCAGCATCAGGGCCCTCTGAGCTGAAGCAGGGCCACTCTGAGCTGCAGCAGGGCCCTCTGAGCTGAAGCAGGGCCCTCTGAGCNGTTGGGGCCAGAATGTCCCAGAACTCTTTATAGAACTCAGTAGGGAACCCGTCTGGACCTGGAGCTTTATTATTTGGCATTTTTTTTAATGCTTCCTGAACTTCAGCTGTAGACACCGGTGAGTCCAGGGTCGCTCTTTGACTCTCTGATAATTTAGGAAGAGTTATTTTATCCAGAAATCGCTTAATATCATTATCTGATGGATTTAACTGTGATATAAAGATTTATAGAAATCTCGGAAGGCATTGTTAATATCCTCCGGATCCTGTAATATATTACCAATTACATCTGTAACTGCAAATATAGTCGTTTTTTATTTTTTATTTTTAGCTAATTAGCTAAGAAACTTCCTGACTTATTGCTATGTTCAAAGTTGTCAATTCACTCTTTGTATTAAAAATTTATTTTGTTTTTCAATATATTTGTTTAGTTCTAGTTTGATTTCCCCTACTTTTTCCTCATCTAGCGAGCTTTCTAGTAACTTTATATTTCACTCTAATTCCTGGATCTTTTTTTGTTCTAACTTTTTTTATGAGATGAGAATGAAATAATTTTACCTCTCATCACTGCTTTCCCTGCTTCCCATAGTATAGATGCTGATGTTCCTGCTAAATCATTGCACTCCAAGTATGATGCCCACTCTTCAATGGAAAAATTTGAGAAACTCTTCATCTTTAAGCAGTGATATATTCAATCTCCAGCTCTTGTTTTGTGGGGCTATTTTTTTAGTTTTTAGGGTTAAAGTAACAGGAGCATGATCACTGACAGCAATAGGATGGATTACAGCATGTGAGACATCAGACAGCAGCAAGCTGTTGATTAGGAAATAGTCCAAACGAGAGTAGGAATGATGCACATTAGAAAAGAAAGTGTATTCCTTACTGTTAGGATGAAGAGATTGCCATGCATCGCAAAGACCAAAATCACTTTATTTAATGATTGAGTCCCTGTTGTATTCAACCTGTCTGTTTCTCCATTTAGACCAAAGATGAGGTCGCCCCCAGTAATTAGAGAACCTTCCCCGTGCTTTGAAAGTGCATGAAAAACTTTATGGAAGAATGAGGGATCATCAACATTTGGACCATATATGTTGACAATACACAACTTTTGGTTATAAATAGATATTTTAATTATGATGAATCTGCCTTCAGGATCTATAATTTTGTCTAATAAAGTAAAACTGAGGTTTTTGTGGATTAAAATTGCTACCCCTCTCTGTCTAGAGTTATAGCAGGCTGCAAACACATCAGGAAATTCAGGGGAGTTAAGATCACTTATAGATGCCGCTGATTTATGGGTTTCTTGCAATAAGACAACATCTGCATTTANCAGTTTATCCAGTCTGGGCTGGATGTCTGTCAGAGCAACACGTCATTCTCCACATTCAACCTGATCTCAGGACTTTTAAAGTGGAAAAGCCAGACTGGTTGCAAATGGAAGGAGACATTTCAGAGCCTTTCCAGCTAGAAAATATTATTTCTAAGCTTTAGGTGAATGGTTTTAATAAAGCAGTTTTACCCAGACATGAATACTTTAATTATTTTTATTCAATGAAAATAATTTTGAAAACCAGGGGTGTATACCCGCTATGCAATGCCTTGAGGCCTGGTTAATGGAAATTAGAGAGACTTGAAATACTTCCAAATTTATTAACACTGTAAGATGTAAACTCCACCACCATCAGGGGGAGGGAGGGAGGGAGGGAGGGAGAGAGAGAGAGAGAGAGAGAGAGAGAGAGAGAGAGAGAGAGAGACCTGTTGGTTGCATTTTTAGTGGTGAACACCTTTTGCACAACTGGATTTTTTGTGCTTTGTTTTGGGTGGTGATCAAAAAGTTTTGTAAAAGGATCAGGACGGGCAAAGTCATCTATTTCCTCCTGCTCTCTGCTCTCCGCCATGTCTCTCCTCAGCCGCACTGACATCATGTTCACTGCTCAGTTCGCCGTCGCCTCCAGTGCAATTGCCACCATATTTAACATCAGACAGCGGAGCAGATGAAGGGTCTGCTGATGGGAACATGTCAGTCAGTTTGACACATTTCGCAGCGTCCGTTTGAAGAACTTGTTTCTTTGCGTTTCTTGTCCATTACTACTGTGAACACCGCCGCACAAAGTTCCAATCGAGGTGAAGGTGTTGTTCTACTTTCTGATTGGCCTAGCCCTTCAGACTGACAGGGATGATAACGAAAGTTACTACCGTAACTACGGTTCTATGAATCCCGGATGACCGCCAGAGGCGGTGCTTGAAGCACCGCCTCTGGCGGATGAAATAGAACCAATGGGCTGCAGCAGCCTGAGGTTAGGGCCGGATGATCGGAACATTGCGCTGCTGATTTTATGTTTCAAACAGTACGTCGACCCATCGGGCAAGGGTTAGGTACCAGTATGCCCAATTACCAGTCCATGCCTGGTCCCAGACACTGATGTCAGAATGAAGCTAACAGTTGATTGGTCCATCAGTGGAAGAGAAGATCCCTCGATGCTAGATATGTGGACGGTGTTTAACAGGAGAGTGAGCTTCCCGACTGGCTGTCAGAGTCGAGATGTTTCACCTCTTGAAGCTGTCCATAAGCTCCTGTTTTTTGTTTGCAGACAGAACGCAAACATCCTCACAGAAACAAACTAAGGTTTACCCACAAGATCGTAGACCGAGTAGATAGAATGATCCAGACACCAGAGTGGTACTTCTTCAGGATGAGCCAGGGGGACAATCGCTGCTGTTTCCATGCTGTTCTAGAGGACATGTTTGACTTGAGCTGCAGCTCAGAGGGGCCCTGCTGCAGCTCAGAGGGGCCCTGCTGCAGCTCAGAGGGCCCTGCTGCAGCTCAGAGGGCCCTGCTGCAGCTCAGAGGGCCCTGCTGCAGCTCAGAGGGGCCCTGCTGCAGCTCAGAGGGGCCCTGCTGCAGCTCAGAGGGGCCCTGCTGCAGCTCAAAGGGGCCCTGCTGCAGCTCAGAGGGGCCCTGCTGCAGCTCAGAGGGGCCCTGCTGCAGCTCAGAGGGGCCCTGCTGCTGCTCAGAGGGGCCCTGCTGCAGCTCAGAGGGCCCTGCTTCAGCT